TCTTTGGGATTCGTGTCGATCCGCCAACAAGGATTACTGTATCTATCCTCTTCTTATCAATATTTGCATTCAGCAGTACTCTTTCTACCGGTTGCAAACACTTTGTAAAGAGATCTGAACACAGCTCCTCGAATTTTGTTCTGCTAATGCTAGTGTAGAAGTCAAGGCCTTCGAAAAGATAGTCAACTTCGATACAGCAATGAGTGCTGCTTGATGCACGTTCCACTGCTTTACGAAGACGTTGTAGTGCTCTGCAGTTGGCCATCAAGTCTATCTTGTTCCTGTTCTTGAATTCATCAACGAGATGGCTGACGAGTCTGCTATCGAAGTCCTCTCCGCCGAAATGTGCGTCTCCAGCCGCCGTCTGTACCTCGAATATCCCATCTTCAATGACAAGGAGTGAGACGTCGAATTCACTTCTATCGAGATCGAAAACAAGAACATGCAGTTCTCGACCGTCGGACTACTCATCGAGACCGTATGCGAGAGCGGCAGCGGTGGGCTTGTTGATGATCCTGAGGACGTTAAGGCCAGCGGTCACCCCTGCCGCCTTGGTCGCCTGTCGCTGGGCATCGTTGAAGTAAGTAGGAACAGTGATGACGACATCGGTGACCTTCTCGCCAAGGTATGCTTCTGCTGTCTCCTTCAGCTTGGTCAAAACCATGGAGCTGACCTCTTCTGGAGACAGTGTCTTGGTTTCTCCAATGTGCTCTACCTGCAGCATCGGCTTGCCGTCCGTGTTGATGACGGTAAAGGGCCAGTGTTTCATGCCTGACTGTACAACCTCGTCATTGAACTGTCGCCCAATCAGACGCTTGGCATCGAATATAGTATTCTTGGGATTCCTGAACAGATAGAGAATAGGAAAATAGAATTACCTATCACAAAGGCGGCTAGGCTAACATATCATGTTCTGGTATTACTTTAATTGGGCATATCACAATTTTTGAAGATAGAAAACAATGGGCTTCTACTGCAATTTAGGGGTGCTACGGCATTTGCTCTGGCAACATTTATCTGGGCTCTGATTTGCCAAGAATTAAAGGCAGGGCTTGGATAGCAGTATGTTTTAGGTTAGGTTTACCGGGGCAGATCCAGGATGATTGAGGGGAGGGGCGGCATGTCAACATGGAAAGTGTTCAAAATAGATAGTGACTCGCGGAGTTATGACACATGCTCCTGTCACATTAGCTCTGTGGTCATCCCATGTCAACTGAATTCCTAACTTTAAAGCCTGGGCGAGATGTTCATGGGATTTTATGTAAGTTCGTTAGTGAGGGTAGTACCCCCCCCCCCCCTCCTCAGGGGTGGATCAAGGATCAAACGTGCACTAAATCTTAAACCACTTACTCTGACATCTGATTCTTGGCCGCATCTCCAATCAGTATCTCTCTGTCTGTGAAAGCAACGCAACTGGGTGCGGTCTGGTTTCCATAGTCATTCGGAATGATCTCCACCATCCCATTCTGGAAGACTCCTACACAGGAACACATTGTACCCAAATCAATCCCAATCACTGGAGATTTTCCTGAAGCCATTGTCTCTTATTTTATCTCGAGCTGTCTAGTTCTAAATATCAACTGTGAGGATGTCTAAAATAAGCGCTTCTGACTTTTTTCTGAAATAATTGCCGCAATAAATTTGGAAGTATCCGGATGTGTGGGCTAAATTCTATAATTCTATACTTGGTGATCATTTGCAGAATTGTTTGTTCCGAACAGTTTGATAGTCGAAGCTTGAAGTAAACTCTGACGAAGCGAAACAATTTCTATTGGCAAAATGTTCGTCATCTAATTGTCTGCAGCTCTTTTTTTCATATGACGTTGTGCACATTAACTGACAAATCAACAATTATATGAACTTGTAATGAAATGTTCTTTCAATTATAGAAGAGGAGCGACCTAATGTTACTGACAAAATTAACAGCGTTTGTAATTATATTTCATATAACAAGCTGAATAGGCCTATATCATTGTCCCTTGGCTAGACTACTAGTAATTGTTGTGTAAAAGGAGACTGTGTGTTGTGTAGTGGTCTATGATTGAATTCATCCCGATATATCATTGTTCGTTTGAGCGGATTTCCGATCGTGTGATTGTTTGTAAACACGTCACTTCCGATATACTGGAATATTCTCGATTGAAACAGGAACAGGAAAATAAAAACAGTTAGGATGTTCGAATTTCTGTGATATAGAGCGTAAAGTATATAAAGAGTCTAGCACCTGCCCCAATCCCCCGCCTCAAGGGTCTTGTAGTAGAGGGTGTAAATGGGGGGGGGGGGCACTGCATAATAGGGATTTTAGATTTGCGTGGACTGATACGTGTGACGTTCATTCAAGGCAGTGCATTAAAAGGACGTCGGTCGTAGCAATCCACGTTGTCGTTGTGCAAATCTAAAAGTCCCTATTATAAAACAACCGTCGACATCAACAACTACGGTAAAAAAAAAGAGTACTGATTTTTTAACCCAAAAGGTGTAGAACATCATCCGCATTACACACAAAGTCCTCTGTCAAGAAAGTAGTTTTGTTGTACACTGAGAACCAGTGGGCTCAGTCATGAGGGGGGCGGGGGGCGGCAAGTCTTTAGTCTACGAGATCAGTATTTAAAATTTAAAAAAATTGTCACGGTACCCTTTTAAGAATTAAAAATAGCTTTTCGTCATCCCAATCCCAAACCCATCACAGAAAGTTCTTTTCACATTTCTCTGGCACTCGTCATTTGCCATATGCACACGAACGGGCATAATTGATTCTAAATTTGGGGAGCGAGCGAGCAAAGAAAATGATCTTTTTTCAAAATGGCAAATAGTTTTTTTGTAATCAAAACACTAGATAAGAACATAATAATGTATGTGGGTACCTCACCGAGGAATATACATGAATACACAAACTCATATAATATTCGGTCCCCTCGATACATGCGTATGAGGATATTCGGCCATCTCATTGGCCAGAATTATCCTGATGCTAAATGGTGCAAGCGAGTAAAGCGAATGAGCGTGGTAAACGTAATTTCGGTAGGAAAAATGATATAAGATATATTTGGGTTCCTCGCTGTCAAATAGAAGGACATTCGGGCGCCTCGTTGCCCACATGGCGAGATGTATAGGCACGTGGCTGCCTTAAATTATCCTCTTTCTAAACTTTGCGAGCATGCGAAGGGTGTAAGGAAGAAAGACTCAGTAACATCTTCAAAATGCTACTTCCCAGTGAAATTAAAAACTGTAGATGTTTCTAATTTTCGGTTTTCATGAAATCAACGTTATTCCATCAACATTTAAACAAACAAATATATAACAACATTTTTTCTAGTGGCACCCCTTAGATGTCTTACGGCACCCTGGTTGAAATACGCTGTACTAGATGGTTAACATTTGAGGGGGCAGATTGACCAGGCCGGGAGGGGATATACTCCTTGCCCCTTTAGAGTGGGAAAATGTTGCATTTTAAAGTGAAACGGACACAAGTACATTACTCTCTTTGTCTCTTTTCCTGTATGTCTTCTATCTTTTACTCCAACCTCCATTTTGTTTCTTCTCTGCTGTACACTACATCAAGGATACAGATCTGAACATTCAAAAGCATTTTTCGATAATTTGACTTAAAATTGGTAATACCAGGGAGATGTGAGTTTTTACAGATAAAACCTACCTTTCAAAAAAAAAATCATTATATTCATTGATTCACCGATGCCAGCACTATAACTCAAAAGAAATGCACTCATGCAAAGAGTTCAATGAGAGTCCATATAGGAGGTGAGTAATAGAGATACCCCAACAAAAGAGGAAAACAATTTGTCATTGACTGGAGAAGCTAAACAATATATACTCAGAGAGAGTACACTCTCCCTGATATATACCATTCCAATTTACAACATGATGAAGAATATAATAACAAGGAAATATTGCCACATAAAAACTGGCAGACCAGATGTGAAGAAAATGATTAAGATTGTGACCAATGACCATAAATCGCAGACACTCGATTACAACAAATATGTCTTTGATCTCAGCTATTCAACCCCTTTTAGCTATAGCCGCATATTGGCATGGCGAAATCAGCCATATGTCACAAAAACAGAAAATGTCCAAGGTTTTAATAGAAAGGAGGAAGTAATAATACATCAGTTGAAACTAGGGAAATACAAATTAAATTATTATCAGCACATTATTCATCAACATGAAGATGGACTATGTATTCATTGTAAGGTTTCAGAAACTATAGAGCATTTTTTTTACTACAATGCAAGAAATATAAAAGAGTAAGAAGGATAATGCAAAGATGATTGAAATGTAATACGTTAGATTTAGTAAAATCATTAGGGAATTTATCGGATTTTAGAGTCCTCTTAGATTATATTAAAGATACAAACAGATTTGGAATTTTTGTATAGATATAGTGCGCTTTCCTCTGTGAGTATAATGATTGAAATGTTTGATTATCATCAATATTAAAATCATAAGGATGACATCCTTATGATTAAAATACACGACTAATGGTGAAGAGAAATTAAATGTAATTAATCTTTCACAGTAGCACTTCGCTGAGACAGGTGAGCCAACTCTTAACTCGAAAACAGAAGTCTGGAAAGACAGAGCCCCATCAGTAAAAGTGAGCCATGAGATCCAGTTCGAAAAGATGAACATGCACCAAAGAAGGAACGCCGTGGCGCAGATAATCTGTCAAGATTGAAGAGCGCCATCTAAACGCCAATAACAACAACAATCATACAGGCGTTGTGGCGTGCGCCTGTAATCCAGCTAAAAAAAGTGGAAGTTACAAACTGATTCAGCCGAGGACGCAGGTTCGAAACTGAGTCACGTCTTTCGGATGGTGACGTTAAAAGGTCGGTCCCAGACGTAAATAATCATATCTGATTGATACACGTCTGTAAAAACCCAATACACACACACACACACACACACATACAATTTTAGGGGATTCCCCATGAGGTCATTGTAAGAACGCGCGCGCGTCCGCACGATATAGGTCGTGGCCAAAGGTCGTGGCCGTGGCCTTCATAGACAAATACAGTAGTGGCATGCATTACGTGCGCAACGATCCCGATGTCACAGTCTTATTTTCAGCTGATTTCTCGCTATTGACGTAGAATCTTGATTTCCATCATCCATGCAAGCTGCCCAGGCTGTAGACAGAAACGACACTTGCGTGAATAGGAAACCACCATTCGCTCGGATCCGATCCGCACAGTACAATTTCTTTCTTGAATTCTTCCCATCGGCCACCAGGCCATGCCACTCCACAGGTTAGACGTTAGCCAGTACAGTAGTAGCGCTTAACTGTAAACAAGCTCTTAGCTTGTGCATGCGGATATCGGATGAACGAGTGGTTTCCAAAACCACGATATAGTCATAGAAAATAACCATCTGGTGAGTATGGGGTTATTTTTCTTATAACTAACATTTGTCAACCTTCTATAAGGCAATTTGCTCTTTATTGTTGACCCATTCTCGTACAGTGTCACTCGTAATTTGCTGTTTGTGTATTTTATTTTACGTTTACCCGAGAGTCTGCAAGAATGCTGTTGATCTCACACGATGACACATATCTGCATTACTATCCTGGCTGTGTATTAAAAGCTGTTTTATTGATTCTCAACATTTCAAACACCACTGTACAAAACTCAACTGAGTGATTTCACTCAAAAGCGTAGACCGAAAGCTTCAGTCTCTATAATCGTCGGTTGTTCCACTGAGACTACGTCTGGCTCCACTAGACCTCCGGTTATAGAGACTGAACGATCGCCTATACCATCGTATGTTGAAGATATCACGGCTAGATTTTAGCCGCTAGGCCCCTCCCACAAACATGACAAACTTGCCACGGCCGTATTGTTATGCCCCCAAAATCCCCCAAAATGTCATTTTACCTCGTCCATATCCAATTTTAAATTAGGCCTAGGCTATAATACATCGGTTCCACTTACTAACTTGATTGAAATAATCCGTTTAATGGTCCCTTTTAAGGAAATTATGGGTCAAAATCGACATCCATGTTGAAAATCTTGCAAGCCGTGTTAAACTCTCGCTGCCGTCAATCTCATCCCTTCTAGTCTACGCCGAAGGCAAAATGATTATGAAGGAAAAACTGTGATAACGCCATTACGAACGTGTAGATGGCGCACAATTTTTAACACGGCTTGCAAGATTTTCAACATGGATGTCGATTTTGACCCATAATTTCCTTAAAAGGGACCATTAAACGGATTATTTCAATCAAGTTAGTAAGTGGAACCGATGTATTATAGCCTAGGCCTAATTTAAAATTGGATATGGACGAGGTAAAATGACATTTTGGGGGATTTTGGGGGCATAACAATACGGCCGTGGCAAGTTTGTCATGTTTGTGGGAGGGGCCTAGCGGCTAAAATCTAGCCGTGATATCTTCAACATACGATGGTATAGGCGATCGTTCAGTCTCTATAACTGGAGGTCTAGTGGAGCCAGACGTAGTCTCAGTGGAACAACCGACGATTATAGAGACTGAAGCTTTCGGTCTATCAAAAGCGGTACTTTAGTGACAATTGATGACACCTAAATATGAGTAAAATATCATTTTTTCATCTTACCATCTTACAAAGAATGCACTATCTCCTCCCATCCGAAGAGCCCTTATAGTGAGAGCCCAATTACTCACATCCACCTACTTGACACAATGCCGTCTCTTCACGCTTAAGAAATCACCTATCCCTACATGCCCCCTTTGTAAAACCAATGATGAGACAGTGGAGCACTTTGTTGGAGTCTGCTCATACCTGGCCCATCTTCGTCAGGATTTCATCAGCAAATTCAAGGAATGCCTCGTGGATTATCCCATCTGTTTAAACCTATATAAGGATGATGACCCACAGCAATTTACCCCTGCTGTTACCCCTGCATCCATGCCTGCCTTCCGAAATTCATAATAACCTACTTCTACTATCGCTCTTTTTCCTACACAAATTGAAGCTTCTCGTTCTAAGACTCTCCAAAGCTCCTAACCGGTCGAATTTTAAACATTTACTTTATTTGGACTCCAGGAATCTCCAAAACAGTGGAGGGATCAACTAAGAAGAAGAAGAAGATGTTAAAAAAATACCCGGTAGTTTAAAAATTCAAGTTGAAAGTCTAGGGTCAAATTTGCCGATCAGCCACACCGGTTTTAGTGTGTAGCCTACATTGGTATGCAATAGAGTGTGGTGTGTGTATTGTGTGTTATACCTGCCTCTCAGCAAGTATGCAGTGCTAGAGGTCAATACGCATTAGCATTGACTCTGTGCTTTGCTGTAGTGGTTGAGCTGAGTGTATAGTCGAGCTTAGAGTTCAGACTTTTGTATTTATCCTTCTCATATCTTTTTACAGGCATTGTTGTCGTTTTTGGTTTCATCAGAGTTTTACAACATAATGAAGAATAAAATAACTAGGAAAAAACTTTGGGCTAGGGTACATTACGAAGGGTGCGAAAGCTTTTGTCCGTGAAGCCTTACATATGTTTAAACCTAACTTGTTTACGGTAAACCACTACGAAAGAGTCTCAGCTACCGGTAAACTGTAGAATCTAGCTTTAGAAACCACCAGATGAAATAATTGAAATATCAAATTGAAGAATAAGAGTTGTTCTAATTAGCTCGTAAATATTGCAGTTGTTAAATTCTTGTTACCCTGTTTTAAAGCCCCACTGCCTACTTTTAGCTACTTGCGCCCTCTTTACAGCCAGCAATGTCTAAGCAGTACCCCTTGACCCCCCATAATGCCCTTTTGCTCATCTTAATTGAGAGCTGATTTGATTAGATAACCACCTACCAGTGACCTTGCAGGGAGGTCTAATCTCTCCATGCCAAACTAGTGCAGAGGGGCTTTAATATGTGAAAACTGAGCGAAATGAAGCGCCATTTTTTAAAACTGAAAATATTGCAGTAGGCCTATTTCACATATTTTCCGTCATTACACCAGGTCGAATTTTTTTTTACTGGACTGCAGCAGCCACAGCGTAAAAACTGCTGATCTATGGCGCATTTTGCATATAATGGTTTGCACGCACAGCCGATGATGCGAACAGCGCATGGGCACACCTCCAATATAGTTGTAGTATCCAGCTTTTTTTACTGAATCTTCCACCAATTTCGAAAGCAGTTTTACACAAAACTACTTACTGCACCACTATCGCGAAACTGGGCAGAGAGTGAGACTGGAGTTTAAAGTCTAGTAAAATGTTGTTTTTTTTTGCATATTCATATTGTCCCAGACTTATCTCTGGAAAAAAGCGAAGCCTCTATTCACCAACTACTAAAACAGAAAAAATATATTTGAAGAATAATATCAATTTGTGTGTGCTGTGAATTTTTCATGAGCTTTGAAGCTAAAATAAGGGAAATATGTGAAGGTGAATTGTAGACAAATTTTGCTCCTCTCTTTGAATAACGATAACTTACTATTTTGAATTTTGAGTGTAATTTTATGAGGGAGTAGGGAAGAGATTAATTGCCCTCCTCTCCCTCCCTTTTGATAGAGTTTAACTCTAGTTCACGTCCATTATACAAGTTATTTGACCTTTCAGGATCAGCAAACACATTTTGTGGCTACAAAGAATGATTGCACATGGGCGAGAAGCGGGCTCTCAATTAATCTCTTCCCTATACCATACTCCCTCATAAAATTACACTCAACCTTCTTACAGGTAAGTTATCGTTTGAGCTTTCAATAAGTGCCCCCTTTCCTTCAATAACTGCCACTTTGCCTTTGCAATAATTGCAATAAGTGCCCCTTTTCCGTTTTTGATGAGCCCCTTTTCCGTTTTTGATGAGTCCCTTTTCCGTTTTTGATGAGCCCCTTCCCCTTTTCTAAATACCCCTTTTTATAACTGATGAATTCCCCTATTAAAATCTGATAGGCACCCTTTTCCTTCAACAGATTCCCCATTTCCATTCTCACAAGTGCCTTTTTCATCTCTGTTGAGGCCTTTTCAGGTGCAAGAAGCGGCCCATCTTCTGACAAGTGCCTACTTTTCCTTTTTCCATAACATGCTACCCTAATTTAAAGCTATTTAGAGCCCCTTTATCTTTAATTCTCATTATAGCTTGCTCGCTACACACGCTCGCATTTGTAGTTGTTATAATTATGTTGTTTTTTGTCCTCTTTTTAAGATTAAATTTTTTGCACGGGGACCTCACAAATCTATATTTTTTTGCTTGCTCGCTCGAAAATTAATGCTCCGACCATCACACCCAACTGCAAAGTTTGTTGCTTAAACATTATATTGTACCACATAAAGAGAGAAAAAATATTGATGTCATCCCTGGTAGTGTAATCACAATCATGACGATGTAGGGGTATATATATCAATGTCTAAAAATGGTGTATGTTCACTTTGAGGTTTCCCTTTGTTGGTGCCCCCCCCCCCCCACTTTGGAAGACGCTCAGCCGACCCTGCTACATGTATGGCTAAGTCTGTAATGTCACTGTGACCTAGTGCCTTACAACTTTTGCAATTTGTTTCAAAACTCAAAATGACCAAAATTTCAACTTTTCAAAAACGAAGAGTTGTCCATGATTACGACACAATCCACAGACCAAATTACAAATTTGAGATACACATAGATTTAATATTCTCATATTTCAAACATTCATAATCTCTTTTTATTGAGTTGACTCAATTTCATTTCAATTTTCACCAGTTTCGTTAAAATTCAAAATTTCTGCTTTCTGTAAGAGTAGTTATTAGCTATTAGGGTTGGATTTTCATTTAAAACCTGACTTTAATTTACTTGAGTCAGTTAAACACACCGACTCACAGTCTCAGCTGTCGAAGACAAAAAAATAAATAATAATAAAGAGAGAAAGAATTCCTGGGGAGCATCCCCCCCCCCCTCCCCAGATCTGGTGCAATTGTGTTTTTTCACTGTTGTTGAAATCTATAAATTCCACCATTTACAGCTGTAACTGACATCACCATGATCTTGTGTCAGTTCCAATAATTTGTATAAACACCCTATACAATCAGAATATTCCCAATATGATATTTAATTAGCTTTACTAGTAATCATAAACCCTTTGAATATATATATTTTGTCAGAGATTGGTACATTACCCCTTCCCCCCCCCCCCCCCTTCCTGAATATAAGCTAGATCTTCACAATACATTTCCATGGGGCGCCAAGTGTAACACATGTGATTCTGTCAAGAAATCAATGTTTTGTCACCAAATCAATCCCACCATTTCAGTTTGTCGCAAAAGCAACCTCACCAAGTGATTTTGTGACAAAGTCAATTACCTTTCATGACAAAATCAATAGGTGATTGCTTTTGTGACATAATTAATTGGTGAGATTGCTTTGTGACAAAATCAAATGATGGGATTGATTTGGTGAAAAAAACATTGATTTTGTGACAGAATCACATGTGTTACACTTGGGGCCCCATACATTCCAGCCCCTTTTATCTTTAAATATAGTTCAGTATTAAATCACACAAGTCAAGTCAAGAGGCACATATTTGGATAAGGAAAAAAAGTTTTAAAAAGTAATCCATTTTATGTACACTGTAAATACATGCCACTTTAATATGCATAGTAAGTAGAATCCCCTTTTTATGGTCAATTACAGGAAGTCTTGCTGGGGTTATCATTCATGTACCTTTCCAGCGGACTGAGTTTCTGTCGAATGAGAGGAACATCTTGCACCATGGATGGATTCTGCCTTCTCTATCTGCTCATGATCCTTGTGATGAGATCTGGTGATGTTGAAACCAACCCTGGACCAGACAGGTCAGTGTATATATTTGAAGCTTACTTTCAGTTCTTTATTGCAACAGTAATGAGCAATAGGGATATTAAAGTACTTTTCTTACTATTAAACCATAACACCACATACATGTACATGCATGCCAATTTTTCTTCCATATCCAACTGCACTGCTTAATGGAGTATAGTCTTGTGTCTGTATGCTTCAATATACCTTTAAATAAATGTTATCATGTAGTACATGTAGCTTAATAAAATTAGGTAGGTATGTGAATGAAGCTGCATGTTCTGACAGTGCTCAGCTGTAGGAGCTAGTGTACATATTTGTAGCCTGGAGTAGTTTATTCTTCCATGTAGTTAGTTGTACAGTCTGTTTCGCCCAAAAGCTCATCAAGAACTGAACTAAACTTACATAGTATGAAGATAGGTGCTTTAATGAATATACAGTAGGGGTTACACCACAATAAGAGATACTTCAAGACCCTCCAAAGTGTTGAGAGACCCCAAAATTTGATGGCCAAATTTCACTTAAATTGTATCATAATGTGAAAAGGGATGTCATTTTAAACACATTTTTGCAGGATTTTAAAAACAAATGTGTTGATGTCAAATATTGATGAAGGAATACAAAATCTAGGTTTTTTGCGTACAACAGAAAACCGAAATTATGTATTCTTTTTATCAATATTTGTCTTCAAACACATTATTTGGGGAAAATCTTTACAATTTAAGGGAAATTTTGGCGAATTTGGGGATCCCAACACCTAAGAAGGGCTTTAAGAGATATTTAAGAGATGCTTGATAAACTCTTGTTTTTAATTACAGGATTGTCAGTGAAAAGGAATTCTTAAAGCTGTCCAAGCAAATTGAACCTAGCCACTACCAAGAGGTGGGCATTAACCTGGACATCTCCATTGCAGAGCTGGGGCAAATCGAGAAAGAGAGCCAACATACCAGTGATGCATTGATGACAGTCTTCACGAGATGGAGAGACAAACATCCTCCGGGCACAGACATCAGGGCTCTTCTAGCAGAGGAATTAGAAAGAAGTGACTTAGGGTCCCTTTCTGGCAAACTACTTTCTGGCAGTCTAGTCCTGAAGCGGACAGGTGAGAAAAAGAAGGAATCATGTATGTCGGCTGCCTGCAAGAAGGCCTTTACTGCTCATGATAATGTATTGCTCTTGCAGGCAGCCAACAAACACTAATTTGACACTTTCTCATTTGGTACAAATAGTGCTACTTATAGCAGGACATCTCAATAGATGAACATCCGACAAGACTGATACTGCCGGTCTGGTGAACCCTTAAAATAAATGTCAGAACACCCACAATGTGGGCTGTCAGTCCATCGGTCGTTGGTCTCATGCACCTTCTAACAACTTTTCAGATGGTTTGCTAGACAGATATTGTCGGTCGTGTGGGCTGTCGGTCGCATGGGCTGTGGTCATTAATACATGGTTACAGACCCACTCATTATGTGCTGTGTAAGGTTTTACATGAAGCTGTACAAGGATTATCATTCAACAAATTTCTTGGCATTTCACAGATTTCAAACCCAGCCACTTTCTGACTATTTTTTTCAAGTCATGCTCATCTTTTGACACCAAGTTTATGAAAATTACACCATTAACAGAGCCCTTTTTATCTTGTGTAACCTTATTTATGTCAGCCCCAAAATGTGTACAAAACAAAAGGAAAATTTACATTTCTCTCAGTTCTTTCTATATTGAGTGGAATTGTAATTGTTCTTTGAGCTATAATTTATAAGGCTTATAAGGTTCATCATTATTGTCTATACTGTTAGTGATTCAAATTAATGATATTGGCATGTTACATATGGATACATAAATAGACATGTACATGTATATACCTTCATACCTAAAGACAAATTCTATTGAGATACATAGAAAAGAAAACAAACAGACATGTCATGCATCAACAATAATATACATGTATGATGTGCAGAAATTAAACTGCAAAGACAATAAATTATTATCTGTTCTCATTGAATCTTGGTCCAGAGAACACCTTCAAACAGCAGGACTAAACAAAAATGAAAATGAAAAGTTGACAACAATAAATACATCAGAAATTTGTTCTTATGTTCATGTGTATATGTTATGAATATCCTAAACAAAAACATTTTGATATTCAGAAGAAATTATCACACTAATTTTATTAAATTTAAAGGTGCACCTGTTACAATGCCAGGATCACAGACCCCACCACTTTCTCCTGACCTGATCAAGAGATGTGCAGATGATTTCAAATTCAAATACCGGACAACTCTTTGTAAGATCAGAGCTGATCCTCTCAACCCCGATTCTATTGCGCCATTCAATGACATGTACACAAACCTTGTCCTGGAAGAGGAATATAGACAAAGCAAGCGACCACTTGAGTACAGGGATCTCTTTGATCTTAAAGTCAATGGAGAGTTCCCCAAGCGGATCATGGTCCAGGGAGAGGCTGGGGCTGGAAAGACAACATTCTGTGCTAAGATTGCCTGGGACTGGATAACTGAAAATCCTGTTCTTCCAAAGTTTGTGTGGGTACTTGTTGTCCCTTTTCGTGAAGCCAAGCAAAACACAATCGGTGAGATTGCCAAGTCGTATCTCTCAAAGGACAACCCAGCAACAGCCTGCCAGATCACTGAGTACATCCGTTCAAATCCAAGACACGTATTCATTGCATTTGATGGAGTAGATGAGATGGATGGCAATATTGTACAGCAAAGGAAAGCTGGTTCAAAGTCAGAATGTCACCAGCCAAAGTCTGCTGATCAAACCAAGGCAAGATCAGAATCCAAGACGAACAAGAATAAGCGGCGAAAGTTACGGCAGCCAATGTCAGGAAGCCCATCAAGTGCCACTTCGCAGCCAAGAGTCAACAGTGCAGAGGCAAGTGGAAGTTCTTCAGAGAGAGGTGACATTGCACTTACAGACATTCTTCGTTCAGATGAACTTGCCACCTGCCCGGTGTTGGTGACAAGTCGCCCATGGAAGGTCACAGAGATTAGATGGGATGATATTCTAAGGAACCAATACACTTTCATACATGTGGAAGGTTTTAGCAAGGAGAATGTGGAGGTTTACATTCACAAGTACTTTCAAGATGATGGGGCCAAAGCAGATCAGCTTATCCAATTAACCAAAAACAATAACATCGTATCTAAGAATATGGCCCCGTATCCTATCTACATAGCTATGCTCTGTCTGATGTGGAAAGAACTTGATGATGAAAAACAAGAAAAGTTTAAGTCATTACGAACTTTTTCTCAAATATTTGATGAAATGTTTGAATTCTTGAAGGTGCATTATGCTCAGAAAAAAATCCCAGTTTTAGACAGCCCATCTTTCCAAGCCTATCGCTCTCAAATTGAGAAGCTCATGGAACCAGTTGCCAAAGTTGCTTTCATCGGGCTACAAGAAAACACCCTTAGTTTCAAAGAAGGTGATTTTGCACAGTGCTCAGACTCCATTGAAACAGCTTGCAGAGTAGGGGTGTTGTCTCAGGAGAAAAAATTGTCATCTAACCTGTATGATAAGAGCAGTATGTTCCTGCAGTCTACTATCTTCTTTCCACACAAACTGTTTCAAGAGTACATGGCTGGGGTCCATCTTTCTTCCCTGTATGAATTAGATCACAATGAATTCAACAGGCTGATTGAGCAAGTAGTGCTGCCTAGAAAGGAAGAGTTTCGGTATCTCCTGTACTTCACCGTGTCACGGGACAAAACCATTGCAAAGCATGTCATGAAATGCATGTTACAGGGTGACACCTCAGGCCATGAGGAGACGGATTTCTTGGTTGATGTATCCTTTGAGAGTCAGGACCTAGATACTGCAGCCTTGGTGAGGGGTAGAATGTCATCTCTGAGAATATGGCCATTCATGACAGCACACACAATAGCAGGTTATTTATTCACTGGACTAGGTGTACATAAAGATGTAAGTTTGATATCTTACGTACATTAATAAGTATTATAATTTAAAGGGGATGTCCACCCTGATATTAAGTTGGTTTGAATAGAAGCAGAAAATGAGAAAAATGGGTCAGTGACAGTTTGAGCAAAAAATTACTAAAATGATTTAAAACTCAAAATGTTCCTATTTTAATTGAATATTGCTCAAACTTTCAATAATTTATTTCTCTCCTTTTCCTACTTTTATTAAAACCAACTTAATATCAGGGTGGACTTCCCCTTCAATTGCAAACCCAACAGGCATCTTCAGGCACACATTTTTTTCTTAGGAATGGCTACCGGTATTTAATGTTTTTTTTATTTATCCATTTATTCATGGTATTAACCAAAATATGATTAGCAGCCAATGGCTGAATTGTTCACACTTTACAAGCATGTTTTAAAATTACATAAAGTACAATACTAAATATGGTAAGAATATCCAAAAGCCAGATGATACTCACAGTACATAGAACACTGTAGATTAAATAATTTAAGAAAAACAGAAACAGAATAAATATAAGTCATGAAACATAATTCATGGAGAGAATTAAATCACACTTTTGATCAATAAATTATGTCCATTGTTCCCACCATTCTATCTATCCCCTTCCACCCCCCCCCCCCCTCTCTCTCTCCCTCTCTCTTGCCTGTGGGTTGTCGGCAGATACATCAATAATTTGGTTACAGATATTTGGTTTAATTCAAGGTTTAAAGTATTTATAATAAATTCAAAAGAGAATATAATTTTAATCAACGGTATGAGTATTAAAAAGAGTAAAAAAATATTGCATAATTATAAACCGTCAAGTTGGTCAATATTGATAAAGTGCATCAATTTTTTTTGCAGGGCTTGAATGGAGTGTAAAATTGTACATATGGTATAGAAATCTAATTAACACTAAATAATGGACAATAATGACAAGATAAACGCATTAAACTGAGGATAATGGGATTTTGCTGGTAGTTTTACCTAAGTATATTGCACAACAAATTTATTTATGGCTCCCTCCCCCCCCCCCCCTTTACTTTAAATTTAAATTCAAGAGCCTATGATGAGGTAATGGAGAGCACTTCTTTTGTAGCGCTCTGTTTTACAAAAAACTTTGGACTAGGTTTGGCCATTTCGCAATGATCGACAATATAAAGTTGATCGCAAGGGAGGAAGCCCGTGGTGAAAGTTTGATGATGGGCTGGTCAATCTTTTGCCCAAACTCGATGCTAGTTTTTCTCTCCTTTCATTTAGAGTAGGTAGTTCCAATTCTCAGAGAGCATGTTGGTATTACATTAGTGCAGTCCAAGCACAAGGCAGCACACTCATTTTTGAATATTTCAATCTGTTTACCTTGGTGTTCAGTTAGCCTAGAGTGCCAAACAGGGGCACAATATTCTACCTTTGGCCAAATGTAAGAACAGTAGACACATAATAGATCATTTGCTGGAAGTTTGAATCTGTTTAATATTCTGAGCATGTATAGTTTTGTGCTTGCTCGCTTGACAATATCATTCACATGATATGAACATTTCAGATCAGTTTAACCAGTACTCCAGGTACATGGAATTTTAAAGGCCCACTGCACTACTTGTAGCTACTTGCGCCCTCTATATAACAAACAATGCCTAATCGGTGACCATTGGTCCCCCATGATCCTCTTTTTCTTATGTTAACTGAGAGCTGAGTTGATGAGATAACCACCTGTCCAGTGACCTTGCAGGACGTTCTAATCCCTCTTGTAAACTATGGCAGATAAGCTTTAATATGCCTACTTTCATGCACTCTCTTACATCCATGACCTTATACCTGATTATCAAATCAAATAATTGTTTTCCCCCTTTTCAAACAACACATTTAAAATCAATGACAGATTATTTGTTTAATAAAAGTGGCATGGACATAAAGACCAAGCACTATACAAAATCAAATCGATAAAGTTTCAAATATTTTATACACAAGACAACATTTAGGAGAGAAAGAAAGAGATGAGAAGGAAGCATTATTAACAAATTTGCACAAGTCTTCAAGGAGATGTCTTTAATACAATATTTTACACTAATGATATTTTTAAGTGGATATACTACCGGCAATGATGATTATTGACTGTCTATTTTTTTTGTAGTGGAGGGGAGGGGGGGGGGGGGTTGATGTGAAACATACATTATGATAATACTTTGGCAGTATCATTTCATATACCCATCATTATAGGCATATGATAAATATCAACAGTACTATTTGAATTAGTTTTATTGGACGACCAACCCTTTTCTGGTTGGAAAATAAACTGCTTGAAATGGCATCCTACACCTCAGTTTTGCTGCAACCAGTCCTCTTGATCATTTGATGCTCAGACTTCGGAGTAACCCTTAATTTTGATGGATGGAATAATTTAGGGCCCTTTAAAAATGGCCTTTACCATGCTGCATTGCAGATAAAATGTTATAGCAGGCCTTCCTTTGCAAATAAATTTGGGATCATATAGGTTTCGTAGCACTACTCTGATGATATCGACCACTGTTTTTGTTTTTGCTTTGATTTAGATCGATCGTGGAGTAAGTAGAGAATTTGGACCAATTATATCACATCATATGGCAGAGATTATATGCTCTGTGTCCTCTCTAAAGCATGTTACACTACGTGGAGCTGCCTTGCACAGTGACTTCTATGCAGTTCTTGCTAAAGACGGAAACAAGTCCAAGGTGAGTGAAAAAACACATTGTAATGCCGTAGTCTAGCCTAAGGGGGCGCTTTGTCAAGACGCAAAACATCAATCGCTTGAAAATTTGAAAAATCACTGTGATTACAGTTGTAGAAAAAAAATTAAGTTGGGTCAGGAATTTAAAAGTTAAAAACTAAAATGTGTATTGTTTTTGTCATTCTGTCACTTTGCATCCTCCCAGTAAGATTTACACAAGGATGTTGCAAAATTTTCTCACAACAAAATACAAAATTGTAGTGGGAGAGGGGGGGGGGGTAAACCTTCCCCCTTCAGTTGCCAAACTTCCTTAAATATCCCACCCACCTCCTCCCCCCCCCCCCATTCCTGCCATGACAAGATATTGCTGCCCCTGAATGTTTGATTTAGGGATAAACCATAATAAACTTGAGTATTGAATGGGAAATGCACATTGGGAGTCAATACATGCAAAGTGTTCAAATAATTTAAAGCCTATCAGAAAAGGTTTTTATTGCCAAGTCTTGAATTATATTTAGTGTTCACTTAACTTCTTTCTGATTTTACGTTCATGACATGTTGCATTAACCTCAATTGAAAATTTCTGCATCATGTCAGGGTTTCTTTTTACAATTTAGTTTTGACTATACAACCGTCTGTAGTGTATATTGGATTCCGGACCAAAGTTTGTGAAGTCAAAGAATCAATTTGAATCAAATATGACATTTATTTTTAAAATTGCCACTCACAGGCCAACAGCTGTTTTGGCTAAAATCACAGTGCACATACCTGCTTAAATGTAAATAAAAATATGGCTGATGATGATGATATCTGATTGAAAAGGGAATTGAGATGAAAATAAGAGATGAACTTGCATATTAAGAATGTTATTCAATTTGTCGACAAACTCGATTTCCTGGTACATCATAGTTATTTACATTTAAAGCGACTACCTATATTCTTTATTTCTGATATTACTGTTTTTCTTTCCTAATCACTGTCTGAGTCGCTGCTACTGTCACTGATTTTCGCTGCTCTGATGTCGTATTCGATGTCCTGCATCCTGCTAAATTTGCTTGATAGTCCTTGGTAGCGGCACCCTATGTAGCACGGTATTTCCTTCTTAGCACATGAGCAGTTCTTCTTGCAACCTTCAGCACATCCGCATGATATAGCCTTCTTCATTGAAACGGGCCAGGCTTGATGGGTACTTCGAACCGGAAGCACGTGCTGATCATCCAGATTCCACCCAAATTCTGTCCAGGGTGGGGTTTTAGGCTTGGCAATGTGTGCTCTCTTATTCATCATTGTTGCAAGGGCATGCAGCTCTCTTTACATGAAGAAAAAATGCGTCTCCTATTTGGGGGGGGGGAGGAGCCTTAGGAGAGTATAGATCTGTTGTTCAAAAACTTGTATGCTCTGAGATTGCCCAGATCAGACTCCTTGAAGTCATCACTTGCTGAGGTGTTAATATATGTTGTGATGGCCCTAATAACTCCTTGATTAGTTCTCTGGATACAACGTCAGTGATGGCCCTTGCCTTGGGGTTCTCGCCAAGTCAACAATCTCTAGTTCTCCATCACTAGCAATGATCTGTGTCATACGCAGAAGAGCAGTTACTTCATCACTCTTCCCTGATTTAGCTCTTGTGGGCCCAGACTTCTTTTGTTTCTTGTTTTGTGTGTGGAACGTGTTCAGCTTCATAATACTTGTCTTCTTCTGAAGACTGGACAGTGATTGAGACAGTGCCTCCACGCCTATTTGTTTAACACTGCTCAAGTTGTCCTAAACTGTGCAATCAGCACATTGCCCAGTTGACACATTTATCAGGGATGTTGTAGTTGCACTGGATGGATTCGTCTCGACTGCTACCATTACCTTGATGACCATCTCTGTGTCCCTTGTTACTCGACATACACCAGATTCATTGTTAGGGCTGGGTGAAAGAAGATGCAGCATCGATATTTACTGTGCAGAGACAGATGTGATGGGTTTTAATTGTTTAAACCCATTTTATCCATGCGGCGGGGTTAGGTGTAATTCCGTCATGACCGCTTTCTTCTTTACTTGGCATCTGCATTTGTCTGTTCAAGAAGCATGTCAGGAGAAACACAATTGTGCTTGCCATCTGCTCTCCTTGCAACAAATGCACCCGCCATAAGTGCTTCATGTACATCAGGGGCTGTTTTAGGAAGATTTTTCATCTCATCAAGATAGAGAGGCAGAGACTGCTGCCCATATTTGTAATGCCCTGCTGCTTTGAGGTAAGGTATCATTCAATATGATTCACAGACATGTCCTACCCAGTCAGCTTCTCGCTGGTAGTAGTTAAATCTATGCAGAACATCAGGAAGGTGGACCAGAAGATTGCTGTTGGTTGATCAACCATTGATTCTGGGAAAAGTTCCTGAAGGGCTGATAACTGTTCATGGGAATTCTGAAGCATTTGCAACTTTTCAGTGGCAGTGATGTCTTTTTGATAGAGCGTTTTCAAGACAGATTCCACCTCTGGCTGCCAGTGATCTGTTTCTCTGTCTGCTGCCCATCATGTCTAGAATGCTTCCTAGTAGAGGCGCCACATAGTTTCGCTCAGGATTCTGAAGGCATGTATGGCCTGGTAGTAGTCGGCTTTATCACCAAACATCTTCTTGGCAGCCCCTTCCTGGCACAGACCAGCTGCAACAAGAAAATCTTCTGCACCTGCCGCCCTAAAGATCTGCAAACTGCTTTCATGTAGTTGTGAGCTTGATGAAAGCCACCCAGCAGTAAGACCACATTGCTGAACTCACTACGATGCTTGTCTCTGATGGCTACAGCGAGCTCATATGTAGCCTGATCTCCAGTTATAATTGTGTATTTGTTACCACGTGCATGTGATGTCCTGACAAGTCAAATCATCATTTCCTTTAGTACAGTAGGGTCAGTTGGAGAAGATGGGATCAGAGGAAGATAGCCAATGATTCTAGCCTGTCTATGTGGATGGAGGTCAGCACGGAATGAGGAAAAGCCCGGAAGTCCTGCTTCTAAAACTCTAGGAGCATCCACCAGTTGCGAAGTTGTGATCATTCTACCGAGGCGCCACATAAGCAGAACGTCCTCAGTCTGCATGGCCATCTGAAGAGTGAGTGAGTCTGGAACCATATTGTATGCAGATGTGAATGAAATCTCAGTTGAATTTTTCTCACACATCTTTTTCTTACACTTCACAATCTGCCCTAAGAATCTTTGATGCTTGCAGGAGTGTATGGTGTTTTCCCTCGATATCATCTCCTTCTAGGCGCCTCAGTTTTTTCAGTGCATCACTAAGTGGTAATGTGGAAGCACATATAAATCCTGAACCTTTGGTTTGATTGAGAACCAAAATATGTGACCCATAGTATTCATGTAATGTATGTTTCAAGATGGTCGCCCGGTATTTATCTCCTTTATCGACACCAAGCTCCTCAAGAATGTCTCGGTACCTTACGCGGATGATTCTATGAGGAATGTGGACAGATCAGGAGCTGGAAAAGAGGAGCTTCCAGCTCATCTACAACATCATAAGGGTTTAACTTTGACCGACCAGAATGCGAAAAGCCTTAAATTTGTTCATATATGTTGTTACACACGTAACTGGATGAAGAATAGGCTTATCACAGATTCTTGTTGGCATATGATGCATTTTGTGTAGTCAGTGCTCATATCTTTGGAAGACTTCTTAGCAGGCACATGCTTCATGGACATGGCACTATCTGCCACACGTTTTCTTGGCTGGTTACTCATCTTGCTGTAGGAACCTATAATATAGAGGGGTGTATCATTTGAATAATAGTTGCACTGTATTTATATTTCATATAAACCTAACTTTGAAATGTTACTTTACATTAGCAGGCAAACTTTCACTCTTTCTTGTAATTCTTGTAAGATCTTAAAAGACAGACCCAGGAATTCTGAAATTCATCTAGTATGAGGTTGCTTTGGTCAATGTCACCCTCTTATACCTATATCAATTATAAAACAACATTGAGATGGGGGTAATAGGTATATTAGTATTGGATTAACAGGAGCATTGGATGTAACAAACATGTAAAGTCATCACAAAAGGTTGCAAATCCGATTTAAGTGTTGTGATCCAAAACACAAGATGGAACAAAATTTATGCTACATTATATTAAGGTTTATTCTAATCTACAAGTGTTAAAGTGGAACTAGTATAAGAAACTATATATTTATTGGTTCACTTTCTCTTATATTTACATCAGGTAATGTTTTAATACAGAGTCCTTGAGAAGAATCTTCAGGATTGCTCCATAGTGATGCCAGATGATTACATATGGAAATTCTATAATAAGCTGCTAGATAATATTTTATCAATAATCCAAAAGTTTGCTAAGAGTAAAAATATTCTGATTTGAGTTAGCAAAACTTACTACATCCTCAAACCTGCAACTGAAATTCCTACCTCATACCAAAAGGTTCAAGCTGGTTAGGAAGTTTCTGATAGTTTCTTCATCATTCTATTAGTTGAAATGTACTTGTAATGTTTGATTTCCTGTCTCTCTGATGTTGCTAACAACTCTGTTTAGTCATTTATAGAAAAAGGGAAGAATGCAATTAATCATTCACGTTTCAGTTGCAAACTTGACACATACGGTATGCGGCAATGATGACTCATATTAAATGTATTATCAGGGAACTAAACTGCATATTGTCCAAAATGAACTTTGTTATGCTATAACATTTTTTACATGAAAAGCAAAACATCTGTAATTTTCAGATCATATTCAACTAATATTACATACCTGCCAACCCTTACAAATAATCCGGAATATTCTGTTTTTCTGGATTAGTCATTTATAGAACTTCATTAAAATATTTGTAGATCCAGACAGGATTCTATGTTTTATTTGACCATGTCATACAAAAACCAAGATTCTACAATTACCTTACACAATTTGTATTAATTACAAATCAGAATTACTAATTTTTGGGGGAATTTATGAATTGCCCCTGCCACTTGTGTCTCCCCCATCGCCCAGCCCAACCGTTCACTGTCCCTTCAATCATTAAGAAAAAGGATAGAATGCAATTAGATGATTCACGTTTCAGTTGCAAGGGCAAACCTGACAGATATGCGGCAATGACGATGCACGTTAAACGTATCATCAAGGAACTGGTCTGTGCATATTGTCCAAAATGAACTTTACTACGCTATACATTTTTTTACATAAAAATCAATGAACCTGTAATTTTCAGATCGTATTCAACTAATATTAGGAAGGTTTTCTATATATTTTTAATTCTTCAGTTTCAAAAGTTATTGAAATATGGAGAAATAACTCCACCAGGTGTAAATGGGTACCTGATATTATTCAGCACTAGTTACTTTGGCAGCTCGGCTACGACCAGGGTAATATGCGTAAAGCACCATGAGCGTCAGAGCTTGGCGGATACTGGTGCTATATAATTATCCTATTATTTATTATTATTATTATTATGTAAAATAAATTCAATCATCATGAATGTGGTATCATCTTGTAGATAATTTAATTTTCTTTCATTAATACCACATGCATGGTAAAATGATGTTCTGTTACAAAATTATCTTCTAATTATTGACTATTTTTTTTCCAGAAAAATATTGTCAGGGTAGTCCACCTAGAAATTGTGCAGGAAGATCCTCTGATCATGTTTATACCGACCGACCTACAACATCCCGACCAAAACCCCCCAAATTAAGGTTTTGCCCCCTAGGTATTCAGCTATTTTGTTGTTGCCTTGATGGTATTATGTCTTCATTCAACAGAACTATAGTACATACAAATTATTAAAACATAGCAGGCCACATAATACGAACCACAAAGGAAAATTATAGTAAGGAATGTATATGTTCTATAGCTAGACCACTTTCATGTACAATATAACATCTATTATTATAATCATCATAATCATTTTACGCTTGTAAATAAAATTATCATTCTTTAAACTCTCTAATAGAATATTATCTTTAGCAATGCTGGTCTAAATATTTGAATTACAATGAAAAGGTGCTATACTGAATATTTTACTGAGAAGATTTGCATTTAATTCACATACCTCTAAAATACAGTAGAATCACTGCAATTCGCTCCTTCGCTCAGGAATTCCTGATCTTCCTCTTACCTGAATCTTCAGTATGGTCATATCCTATTGGACTGTCTATCCCTGACTCTTGACAAAGGCCTTATATTTTCATGCACTTTTGATCTTACTATAATGTACATAAAAATCACCTGAAGGTACTAAGTATTTTAAAACATATAAATAATACACATTCTGACTTCTCACTGTCTGATTTAACTTATAAAAGTATACAAAGGACTAATATTGGGAAAACTACTCTGTGCAAATAAATACTAGCCCCAACAAGACCCTTTCATTGATGCGGTCTCTGACCACATGTTTACAAAATTCCTGCTCCCCCTCCATCTACCAGTGTTAACCCTATTTAGCCCGGGCAGGGGGGGGGGCTTTAGAAGCCCCCCCCCTCGACATTTTACGCGATAATTTTTTAACGCAAGAAAATCTTGCACTGAAATTTTGTGACTTTTTTCTTTCGAGTCTTGCGCATCTTTTGAAAGAAATTTTTTGAAAATCAAACCTACCATAATGAAGTCACGTGTCATTTTGTCTTTGCATGTCAGCCCGAAAATCGCTCATTTTTGTGATTTGTGTACAAAACATATGGAAATCTCATTTTTCAAATAAAGAGATAAAACATTGGTTATTTGGTCTTGTTTATAGTTTAGGTGTCTATTTTTTCTGGGTCCAAATAGTTGAATTATAGTTGGAAATAAAATAAAACAATAAAAACAATAAAATACATGAGTTAAAAAAAAACAAAGAAATACATAAAAAAATATCAAAACAATAGATAACATAAGGAATAACCCTGGTTTTTCAATTTTTTGTGTTGTATTATTATTCCAAATGGTCTAAAAAATATATGTAGTGAGAAAGAATGCTTAAAATATGAATAATGTCTGATTTATGGGCAAAAATGTGAATTTGATGACCTTATTTGCATAAATTACCATAAATATGCTAATGAGTGAATTTTTCAAAAACTTGAAATTACTATAGTATTCTATACACTTCACTTGACATGTATGCAAATTTTCGCGACGATCGGGCGTTTCACGGCCGAAATCATAGGGGGGGCCTTAGAAGCCCCCCCCCCCCCCCCCCCCGGGCTATGCAGTTTCAAAATAGCCCGGGCTAAATAGGGTTAAACCTATTTCAGTCATTCAATTTCTGTACAGATCAAGACTCTCTGCCTTCATGATGTTGAGTGCCTCACACCAGCCTCATCACATGATGACAGCTAGTAAACAAAAGTTATATAAAGAGAAACATACATGTTGATCTAGAAGTATATGTAAATTAATGAAATTGAAAATCTATTTGGCAAATTAACGTAACCTTCATATTGTAGTTATGTTCAAGATGAGCTGGGTATTACTCGGCGTCCTGTGTTTGTTTTTGTTCATAAATATTTTGGATGGATGCAATTACTCAGATGAATACCCAGTAGTTACATGTACTACGGCTATAATAGTAAAAGTTAGTCCTATAAATCTTTTTTGATGCATTTTCTGCGCCCACTACCCTGAACTAACCGATTTCTGAACTTAACCCAGCACTAAAATCTATAATAAACCGTAAGACTAAACCTAAGCTCAAAGTCTATTTGCAGCTCTCATGCGGATCCTATATATATTTGTGACTTAATAAAGCCCAGAACATTTGTCAACTTAAGCTTAGCCATACACATACATGTATATTAGAGCACCCAGTTATATTTGCAGTCATTCAATAAATACATGTATTCTGGTAATGTACTTTAATGAATCACTGTTTGTATCACTATGTAGTGAGAAAATGCACTATGGCTGTGTTTGTCGATCCTCCTGTTGTTTTAACGCAAGACCATCAACAATTTTTCTGTGCTTTCCATCCTGTACTAACCAAATTCTTAACTTGATCCCTGCACCAAAAAGTATTCCTATCACTAAACCTGAGCTCAAACCTATTTGTAGCCCTTATCCAAATCCTATATTTGACTATATAAAGCCCATTGCATTTGTCACCAAAGCATAGCCAGTAATTCAATGAAAACATGTTCTCTGGTAATGTACTTGAATGAATCACTGTTTGTATACATGTAGGTCCACACTGTTGTGCTCGAGTATGTTAGTTGTCCAACATCAGCCTCTTCACATTACCTAGCGGATGCTTTGTGTTCCATGCCAAACCTGACTGACCTGACACTAAATGGACAGGAGTTCCAGGAGGAGTTCTATTCTGCACTGAATGCAAAGGCGTCAACCTTACAGGTGTGTATGTGTGTTTGTACTCTGTATCCATGCCATGATGAATTCATGTACACATGCAGCAGTGGAGATGAGTATTAGGAGTTACTAGTATGATATTTTAACAACATGCAGTCAATAATTTTTCAACGTGTTAATTTTTTTATATCAAAATGTATAATAGTCTTAGCAGACAAAGGAACAGTATTATAAAAAGAGGGGTTTTCATGTGCAGTGTAAGATACAGAATTCAGATGGCTCGAGTTAAAAATATGATGTTCTGCAAAAAACATCACTTTTAAAGGATTGCCTCAGAAAAGATATTTTGGTTTAATGAAGACTAACTTAAAGTTTTTAAGTAAGGTTTTTGGGGGGGACTTGATCCCTGCACCAAAAAGTATTCCTATCACTAAACCTGAGCTCAAACCTATTTGTAGCCCTTATCCAAATCCTATATTTGACTATATAAAGCCCATTGCATTTGTCACCCAAGCATAGCCATACACATACATGTATATCAGAGCACCCAGTTATATTTGCAGTAATTCAATTAAAACGTGTACTCTGGTAATGTACTTGTATGAATCACTGTTTGTATACATGTAGGTCCAAACTGTCGAGCTTGAAGATGTTAGGTGTCCAACATCAGCCTCTTCACATTACCTAGCGGATGCTTTGTGTTCCATGCCAAACCTGACTTGCCTGACACTATGGGAAAGGATTTCCAGGAGGAGTTCTATTCTACACTGCATGCAAAAGCGTCAACCTTACAGGTGTGTATGTGTGTTTGTACTCTATATCCATGCCATGATGAATTCAGGTACACATGCAGCATTGGAGATGAGTTTAAGGAGTTTTTATGCCTCAGTTACGAAGTAGCCGGAGGCATTATGTTTTCGGGTTGTCCGTCCGTCCATCTGTACGTACCTACTTCCCGTTCTTGTGATCGCGTTATCTAAAGAACCGATTGATGGATTTCTGCCAAACTTTGGTCATGTATATTACTTGCAGAGCTGATGAACTGAGTAGATTTTGGGGTCACAAGGTCAAAGGTCAAAGGTCACAGGGCTTATTATGTATGCAAAAACAGCTCGTGATCGCGTTATCTGAAGAACCGATTGATGGATTCCTGCCAAACTTTGGTCATGTATGTATCTTGCAAAGCCAATGAACTGATTAGATTTTGGGGTCACAAGGTCAAAGGTAAAAGGTCACAGGGCTCATTATGTATGCAAAAACAGCTCGTGATCGCGTTATCTCAAGAACCGACTGATGGATTCCTGCCAAACTTAGGTCATGTATATTACTTGCAGAGTTGATGAACTGAGTAGATTTTGGGGTCACGAGGTCAAAGGTCAAAGGTCACAGGGCTTATTATGTATGCAAAAACAGCTCGTGATCGCGTTATCTCAAGAACCGATTGATGGATTGCTGCCAAACTTGGTTATGTATGTTACTTGCAGAGCCGATGAACTGATTAGATTTTGGGGTCACAAGGTCAAAGGTCAAAGGCCACAGCGCACATTATGTATGCAAACACAGCTCGTGATCGCGTTATCTCAAGAACCGATCAATGGATTCCTGCCAAAATTAGGTCATGTATGTTACTTGCAGAGCCGATGAACTGATTAGATTTTGGGGTCACGAGGTCAAAGGTCAAAGGCCACAGCGCACATTATGTATGCAAAAACAGCTTGTGATCGCGTTATCTCAAGAGTCGATTGATGGATTCCTGCCAAAATTAGGTCATGTATGTTACTTGCAGAGCCAATGAACTGAGTAGATTCTTGGTTCATAAGGTCAAAGGTCATGGGCTCATTATGTATGCAAAAATAGCTTGTGAACGCATTCTCATTAGAACTAACAGATGGATTACTATTTAACTCAGGACATCTTGCAGAGCCAATGAACTGAGTAGATTTTAGGGTCATGAGGTCAAAGATCAAAGGGTCATATATGTATATGAGAAATTGCTTGTAATCACGATATTCTGAGAACCTGTTAATGAATTACAATTGAACTTGAATTCGAAAAATTTCTTCTGTTTTGGTTTGTAAAATTGCTCTATGACGGAGGCATCATTTTCGACTGCGCGCAGTCGAATTCCATCTAGTTTTTTTTTTTGGGGGGGGGGGGAGAGTGTTGTGTTACTAGTTACGCAATAATACAATTTCAGTATAAACAGATTACTGAAGTACTCTAAAGACTAATAGATACAAATAGTTCAAATCAATTCATAAGGTTTGAATAATGTCATCATGGGTCTGAGAGTATACGTCAGATTGAATAGTCACTAAACAAGGATGGAGATCTTGATCACAGTGTACTTATTTTAAGCACAGATTTTGTTGTTGTTTTTTTGTTCTTTTTGTTTTGGGCATGTGCATGATCAGGGAGGATGGGGTGTCAGCATAAAGTTCTGTTGAAAATATTGACCAGTTCAATCAACATAGCTTTTTTGTATGTGTGTGTATTTGGTGGGGAGGGGTGGGGAGGGGGGGGGGGGGCATATAGGAGTTGTCAACATAACAAGGATACTTAGTCTATATGCCAGAGAGAGTACTGACCTGGTATGTACATGTATGTTAAAGTATGTCAGCCAGACTGGAATGGAGGGAAACTACATGAATCACTATCACCAATCATGCTCATATATTTCTTTTCAGGATTCTTTTCCTCAAATCAGTAATGGAAATTTCAGGTTCAATGGAGTTCCCCAAGCGGATTTTGATTCATTCCTGCAGTCACTCACTGACTTTAGACGGTAAGTGAACTATTAAACAAAATAAATTACAAATTAATTTTATTGCTATACAACTTACTCCTAGATCCTAATCAAATGATTGGTTAAGCACGGTCACATGTGATTCCTTTACTGTGAATATCACATGTTTTTCCATGAAAAAGCATGCTATAGTTTCTAGTACTATTTAACGATCTTTCCACAGCAGGGCATGTAGAGTTTAATATGCTTTATATACTGTGTGTGGATTAATACATGTATATCACTGTGCATTGATGCTTGTAGAGGTAAGTGCCCCTATCCCTGTGTTCGCGCTAAATTAAGCCTATTAAATTTGGATTTATTTATCAGCGATAATTACTAAGAACAATCTTGAAAGTCTCTTTAAATCAAATAACAAGGATCTAGGATATTTTTTGTATAAAAAAAATGGTGGATGTTTTATTCGTTCATTACAGGATCTATCTGCTCTTGTTGAGGCCGGTTAGGCACCTATCCTATTCAGCCTGACGGCTGTGAACAATATATACAAGTGTCCCCAATAAACATATGTTTTAGTTTTCTTGGGTTGTATTCTGTGCAATATACTTTATTACGTCTGCTACATTCAAAAAGTGAAAATTATGTTAATTATCATAAATTGAGGTTGCATGGAATGGGACTAATTGTAGGTGTTGGTGCAGATTTATCTCTAAACTGTACAAATACATAGCCAGCTTTACATAGAAATTCTCGCTATCGCCAATATGCCCAAAATGCACAGATGAAGCCTCTCTGAAGTAAGTTTGAGCCAATGTACATAGGTACGTCTCTGAAAGCTACATCTAGGTTCTTTATTTTTGGTGACGGCAGCAATGACAAACAAGAGAAATATCCTCCAAATCTTATCGATGTCTAGATTAAAACAATGGAAGGACCTTCTTGAAACTTCAAGAAAATGACAGGCTTAACTTTAGAATATCCCACCAGAATGGAGTATGTCCATTGGTCATCTAAAAAGTCAACGAACCCTTTAATGTAGTCACATCCTCTAATATTTCAGACAGGGTTTCACTCTTGCCAATGAACATAACCAAAGAAAGGTGACATTATTATTTCTATGCTTCTACTTGCTCTTTCCAATCACACCACCAAATATGTTAATTTTTAGTATATTATAGTATATTTTCATCCGTTTTACGTAATAATCGACTCTTGAAATCATTGAGAATCGTGATAAATCACTGAGTACTGTCAGAAAATTAAGTACACACAATCACTGCTGGGTCGACAGGAAGCGACTTGGTCACCAAACTATCCCAGAGTGCATTTGAAACGAGGCCTGAATGTAACATGCTGGTATTTGTATTATATTGGTGATATCGAGAATTAATCAAAGCTTTTTCTTATTTATCTCTGCTTTAACAGGAAACATTTTTTCACTGGCAAAACAATTTCAGAATACCACCTCAGGCCTCTGTTGCCTAAGCCCCCTAACATTGAAAGTTACCATTAATATTATCCCAAATCTTGTTTGTACATGTATCTCCTTCAATAAATTGGAACATAATAAATAATAGCAACTTACCACTACTTTTATGTTACAGGTTAAAATACAATGCTTAATAAGAAACAATTAATTGCAGCAAAACTGGAGATACAACAGATTTTTACAATTGATTGGATTGTTAGTCAATTCATATGTTACAGGACCCGGATCCTATCCCCCAAACCTATATTTCATCTTCTTTCCTCAACATCAATTCAGGCGATGAGGATGGCGTCTCGGACGAGGATGGCCTATGATGGACATCACAGCCATCAGAATACCTTCGAGTGACACACAATGGCAGTGTACAACCATGCAGATGGCACACCTAGATTATGTGCTTCTCGATCGTATAGAACTATCTCCAAGACGGTTGTACGACACTCGTTACTGCAACAGTTGTTCCGCGTCGGTTTCCTACACTAACCAAAATTCCAACTTCAACCTCAGACCTTACATATTACTCTTAAGATAAAGTTATGATATTTAACACTAGTAATGAAACAGCAAATTCAATGTACTTCATATCAAAACATAGCAACGTTTTATTCATACACATTAAATATATCATATTACGTGTACCTAATCATAAACATTATTACCTGAACTCAAAATAAAGTGCAACCCTAGCCCTAAATATTTCATAAAGTAAATGTTCACCCTCCATGGCATCTTTTGTGACAAGCCTTTTTCCCCTCATCCACATGATTCCTTTATTAGACAATAGCATACATTCATGTAAAAATGCACAACATATACATCCACAATCATGCAAAATTCCATATTCACATCACTCGGTCAAACTAAATTTTTCTTAAATATACCTCAGCAAAAATCAATCATATATTGCATTCAAATTGTTCAATTGTTTTATATGACGATAACTTTAAACATAAACACAATCAAAAGCATTCGATAAAATAAAAACACTTTTCATGGATTTCTTTTCTCTTAGATTTGTTTTAGCAATATATTTTTCAATTTCATGATAAAATGTTATAGCTGACATAATATTGTCAAACAACGTAAATGTTTGTTCCAATGGACTGAAAAAAATTCTTTTCTTACAACCATGACAAGGATCTGGTCAACCAGTTGTGTTACTTAATATCCAAAGGTGTAAGGCCTGACCAATACCGATTCAGAAAAAAATAGCTGTGAAGGATGACTTACTGAAATCTTTTATTTGTATCTGCACTCATAATAGTAAATTGCAAAAATGAACAGAAAGCCAGAATCAAAAACTTGAAATCTGGGCCCTGTTTTATGAAACTTGTTATCAATACAGGTAACAAAATATTAAAATCAAAAATGATTTTTATTTCTCATGCAAAACATAATACAAGAATAATTATATCACAAAAAATATGCAATGAAACGACAAATATAATGGAAAAAGCACGAGAAAAGAGGAACTAACTTGAAGCAGAGCTTAATGTAGTGTTAGTTCCTCAGATGCTGTTTTACAATATAACATGCACAAAGTACCGGTATGCTTAGAAATCAATAAATAGACAAATATATAGCTAAGAAATTCTAAATTTTGGGGAGAAAAAAATAAAAATAAAATGGAGGAAAATAGTAGGAGGTAAAAGAAATAAAGATACCCCCCTCCCCCCCCCCCCCCCAAAAAAAAGGGAAAATGAATGATTGCAAAGAAAAAGAAAATTAGATCAGTAGAATGAGGAAGAAAGGGATTGAGAAAGAAATTGAGTCGAGAGTCAAACAGACCGAGATTCGACCATGTATATGTGTTTAAAAGTTTAATCTTTTATCTTTTTCTTAAATGTGTATAGACTGATACTTTGTTTAAAAGATGATTCTACTTTATTCCAAAATACTGGACTGGTGTAAATACTGTAATTGTTTTTTGTGCGAAAGCTGTTCTCATTCGAGTTGCAATAACTGTTATAAGCTCCTGAAATGTTTGCATTTGATTGGCTGAGAGCCAATTTGTCATACAAATGTGACACTTGTTATTGATAGCGAGTTTTATAAAACAGGACAGAGAGAGTTTCTTTGAGCCAGTTTGTCTGGAAGTGGGATTCTGTTACAAGGGCCCCTTGCTTTAAAAGTTGCAATGTCAAACGCAACTCAATAAGTAAACGCAATTTCTAAATATGCAATCCTAATCAGTTGAAAATGGCATTTTAATTTCAGCTTTTAACGTAAGAGGCCCCAGAAACCTTTGTTAAGTATTTACTGTACCCAGTTGTAGTTAATTGTATGCATTCTGTTCAGGTTCACACAAGTTGCGTATACACAGTTGGCCCCGGAAAGTTTACATACACCTGGAAGAAACTCATTTTACTCAGATTTTCTCAACTGCGCTCATTCCTATCAGGGGTCACTCATTTCAGAGTGATTACAATGATGTATATACTATATATATATTAAACAGAGACCATATTTGTCTATCTTCCTGAAGTGAAAAGTTGGCAGGAATTAGTGAAGTTGTGATAATGTATTGGGCCCAACTGTACATGTATGTACATCTACAATTCTGGGAATTTTCCAGTACTTTACAATGTTTTTCTGGTTTCTTTGGCTTCCATTTTTAACAATCAGTAGATGTGTACCAAGTTGTATGTGCCTTATGCTTTGTATATACTATAAACAGAGATAGAATTTGTCTATCTTCCTGAAGTGCTAAGTTGGCAGGAATGAGTGAAATTGTGATAATGTATATCTGGCCCAACCGTACGGGTACTATGTACATCTACGATTCTGGGAATTTTCCAGTACTTAACAATGTTGTTGTTTTTTCTTTGTCTTCCATTTTTTAACTACTTTAGATGAGTACCAAGTTGTGTGTGCCTAATGCTTTGTATATACTATAAACAGAGATAGAATTTGTCTATCTTCCTGAAGTGAAAAGTTGGCGGGAATGAGTGAAACTGTGATAATGTATATCTGGCCCAACTCTACAATTTGGGAATTATTCCAATACTTGATAATGTTTTGGGTTTTATTTGTATTATACCATTTTGGTTATCAGCAGATGTGTACCAAGTTTCGTGTGCTTATTCTTTGTATATACTATAAATAGAGACAACATTTGTCTATCTTCCTGAAGTGAAAAGATGGCAGGAATGAGTGAAGTTGTGATAATGTATATCTGGACCAAGTACATGTATATACATATCACAATTCATAGATTATTCCAGTACTTAATAGCATTGTTGAAGTTTCCTTCTTCCATTTTAACTATCAGGCCTCTGAGTAGAAGTGTACCAAGTTGTGTGTGTCTTATGCCGAAGGCCTGCATGTATAAGCAAAGTGGTCATGTGATTATGCGATGAAAAATTTGTCTGATAAATTGATTGGATTGTTAGTCACTTCATATGTTACAGGGCAAAGATCCTATCCCCCAAACCTATATTTTATCTTCTTTCCTCAACCTCAATTCAGGTTGGATTTCAGCTTAGACGAGGAGGAAAGCGTCTCGGACGAGGATGATGACGTCGCAGAAGAGGAGGATGGCGTCTCAGAAGAGGAGGATGGCGTCTTGGAAGAGGAGGATGGCGTCTCAGAAGAGGAGGATGGCGTCTCAGAAGAGGAGGATGGCGTCTTGGAAGAGGAGGATGGCGTCTCAGAAGAGGAGGATGGCGACTTGGAAGAGGAGGATGGCGTCTCGGAAGAGGAGGATGACGTCTCAGACAAGAAGGATCGCATCTCGGACGAGGAGGATAAAGTCTCAGACATGTATGCCCTTTAATCAACCGTAACAATATGATAAATAATATAAATGATAATAAGATATTCTGAAAAAAATATTTCAAAAGCAAAATAGCATCTGGATGCGTAGCAAATCAATTACAGCATGTATTGCCCACTTGATACATGAGAATCAAAAAAGATTTTGGAAAGGCCGGTTTATAGGGTGGAAATATTAGTCTACTTTACGATACACTTTTATACATCGAACTTAGTGATATTCCAGGCATGTTGTTGATTATTGATTTTGAAAAGGCTTTCGATTGTGTACCTCACAAGTTCCTATTCAATGCCCTTGACTTTTTTCATTTTGTGCCATCACTGAAAAAATGGTTTTATCTATTTTATGAAAATGCATCGTTAGTGCCCTTTGGTAAGGCATTAATCCTCATTACCAGGTTTCTCAGAGAGGACCTAAAGCCGTCGGTCCACTGGTTGCTTACTAACAAGCATTTATACTTCCTTAGCAGTCATGTATAATAAACACCACTACTAAATCGGCTGATTTGAAATCAATTTGTTCTCTTTCCATGTAGAATAGTAAAATACATCTTCTATGTGGATCTGTGCCTAATTAGACTACCATCACTGGCTGAGGAGAGAAACTCTCCCTTGCTTGACCACAAGACCTGTTTATATGTAGCTTATCAGTCAGAGTTAAACACAGTCCCTCTCTTGGAACAAAGGCCCTGTTCACATTTATAAACATCTTAGGTACTGTGTTTACACATTGCCAGTTTAAGTCTATGCAAGTAGCTAAAGGTTTGTTTACGTAGGCTAATTTTTGTGGGTTCTAGGACAATCACTGGAGATGCGTCTAAGCTCTTTGCGTATATGTTCGAGCCCCAGCCGAAAGCGAAGAAGGAAGGGGAGGACCCAGGGCAGGGGAGCACCTTTACAGCGGCCAACTTGATCGATGCCATCATCATAAGATCGATCAATCAACCAACGGGTGAGGATATAGAGGCCGTCTATGAGGCGTCTCCTCGTGGTGGGAGTGGGTCGTCAGATAAGTCAGCTAGCAATCATGGCTCAGAGAGCATGAGCATGAGAGGTGAAGGCTCACCTGTGCCATCGTCTTCAACCAATGAGGAACAAAGGAAGGTTCCTGAACCTCCAACTCTCATAGCAGACTCCCCTGTAAGGTCAGTACAGAACGTCGAACCCTCACACCCCCCCCCCCTCCCCCCCCCCCCCCTCCTGAGGACGATTACCCTCGAAAATTACCCCCTTGGATTATCACCTCTCTGAAAAAATATTCTGCTTTTATTTAAAACCAACTTATTATCATCAGGGTACACTTCCCCCTTTAATGAACAGGGGTGGGGTGCAATTTTCCTCTGTGGTTGTCCTAGGGGTATTTCAGGGTTGGGGTGGTTGTCCTGGGGGGGGGGTAATTTAGTGAAGGTTTATTGTCCTTGGGGGGGGGGGATAGTTTCCGGGGGTAATTGTCCTAATCTTCCCCCCCCCCCCCCCCCCCCCATGATGTTTCATTTATTTTCATTTATTTTCCATTAAAATTCAAAATAAAATACATAACAAATTAACAGCAAAATCGGAAGGACCCCAAGAAAAGCAAAGCTTGTGAGAATGGGGCCCTGTACAAAGGTAATCATACAAGCAAATTATTATAACAAATATTGTAAAACTTATCAAAACAAACATACACCCACCCTCATTCATTCACATGCATACAGACACACCAACACACACCGCAGGCAGAACATTGTACAGAAAAATCTACCCAGTGCACTTCATTTGTTTAAACAAGAACTGTTTACATGAATATTTAAACTTTGATAGGGTTGAACTACTTTTTAAATTATAAGGTAAGGAATTCCAATCATGTATACCCTGGAATCTTAAAGTATGTTGGGTCAAAGAAGTACGTACAAAGGGGTAATGATAGTTTGATTTATTTCTGGTTTCGTAAAAATGGTAAAAATAATTTGTTTTAAACATGTTATTAAATATTGATGGGAGCTCTTGTTTATGAAAATTGAACATGAAGACTAAATTGTTTAATTTTATGAGGTCAAAGACTAGCAAAACATTTCAAATCATAAAACAAAGGAGCACTTGAAGTCATATAGTTAGAATTAGAAATTATACGAACAGCATGTTTCTGAAGAATATGAATTTTATATAAATGAGTCTTGTAAGTATTACCCCAAATAATATTACAGTAGTTGACATGTGGTAAAACAATACTGTTGTAAATAGATAATAATATATGTTTCGGCAACGTCTTTTTAATGTTAGCAAACATGTGAATTAGAATGTACCTGTGTTCGTGAAAGTAGGCTACATTGTGTGACTGTGTGCTCGATAAGCACAAAATAGAGGCCTTGTACCCATTTCTATTTTTAAAAGTGGGCATAATTTGTAGAAATGTTTTGGTGTAACTTTATGGTAAAATTATGTGTTATTTTTTACTCCACTATAACAATCATGGATTAATAATAATATTAATGATAATAATAATGATAATAATAATAGTAATAATATTATTGATAATAACTGATGATAATGATAATAGTAATAATAATATCTGATGATAAATTATGATCCAGATATTAATAATAATGCTGTTAATGACAATAATGATAACAGTTGATTTTAGAGTAGCACTCATGTCTGTCAAAATTTGAAACTCAATGCGCTCCACACTTACACTCATAAATATAAAGGGACATCATCGGTTGCAAAGATTGTATTAATCCTTCTTTCATTCCTCAGGATTGATCTGGAATCAGATGGAATACTTAACAAACTATCGAAACACATGCCTCCCAGGTCTTACGCAACGTTATGCACACATCTTGGCATCGGCTACGACCAAGCTGACGCCATCCTAGCCAAGTTTAACATGGACTACCAGAGAGCTACGAGGGATTGCTTGGCACAGTGGAAGACAAGGACAGGTGGTAATATGGCCCAGCTTAAGACTATCCTACAGGATGCAGAGGTTGGAGATTTAGTGAAGTATATATAGTAATCATGCGAAGCTTCCAACTGGGGCAATATGAACTCTTTAACGTGACACTGTGTTTAGGCTTTTGTTCAAAATCGCAGGTTTAACAAAGAAACCGTGAAATGACACCTGGCTGAATTTCTCCCCAGAGAGTGGAGAATGTGGATACTTTGTGTGCAGGCAAGCCTAAAATTACGACCAGAGTAATGACATTTCTTTAGGGCACTTAGAGACATCATAGATGTTTCAATTGCTATATAAATCTAGAATATTAGTATTAGTATTATTATTAACTAATTTGAGGTCTAACTTTCCAATTTTTGTCTCGCCTGCGTAGCAAAAAGCGAGACATAGGCGCCGTTTCTCCGGTGACGGCGGCGTCGGCGACGGCGTCAACATCAAAAACTTAACTTAAGGTTAAGTTTTTGAATTGTTGATAATTTTTAAAGTATAAGTTCTTAGTCAATGAAACTTGGAATATACGGTTATCAAGTATCCCCAATCATTTGAGTAGAATTTCAGGTCACAAGGTCAAAGTCAAAGGTCATTTCAGGTCAACAGACTTTGACTATGTTGTTGCATCATCATCGAAAACTTAACCTAAGGTTAAGTTTTTGAATTTTTTATATAATTGTTAAAGTATAAGTTCTTAGTCAATGAAACTTGGAATATAGGGTTTTCAAGTATCCCCAATCATTTGAGTAGAATTTCAGGTCACTAAGTAAAGGTCAAAGGTCATTTAAGGTCAACAAACTTAGACTTTGTTGTGGCATCAACATCAAGATTTTGAATTTTTAGCATATTTTCAAATTGTTTGTTCAAATTCCATGAAACTTGTACCCAAGGGTATCAAGTATCACAAGTCATATGACACAAATTCCAGGTCACAAGGTCAAAGGTCATTTTAGGTCAGTAGACTTAGATTATGTTTTCACAACTTAATATGAGAATTAATACAAAATAAAAATTATTACTTTGTTCATATTTCATTCAAGTAAGTTATCGATCGTGGTACAATTAACGGTAAATAATTCTTCTGGTGATTCTTAGTCAATATTCACTTCAAAATGCTGATTATATTCAGAGGATTTCATTTTTTGGAGCCTGCTAATGGGCCACCCTGCCTATAATGTTCCAACTTCATTTTTCATCATATCGAATTGCGTAATGCAGGCGAGACCGCCAAGAGCGTTTCTCTTGTTTTTTTTAGACGCTGGGTCAGTTTTAACTGTCTTAGTGGAATACAGAATTTTGGTATTAGTAAATTGTGTGTCCTTCACAAGAAGCCTGGAACACATATCATTATAAATAGTTGACTTTAATTGAAGGATATTTCCTTGTGAGGCTGACAGATAGATATATTACGATTATTCCGTTTTACTAAATTCGGACATGCCTTAAAGATGCTATGTCCCTTTTGCAGCCAACCTCAAAATCTGTAGAAATTTGCAGGAATAATGAATATGTCAGGTATGTCCTATCTGTGAAATTTAAACGTTAGCAGTGTCCTAATATTCAAATTATTCAAGGAATCCCGTTTACTTGCTAGACTTCGCTGTCAGACACTATTGTCAGTATTGAGTGACTGACTGGCTTGTTCTTCTTCTTTGGTAATAACATACATAAAATGAGCTGTAAAGGATTTGTCTACATCAATAACCCACTTCTTGTAATGGCCTAAATTAAACTGATTGAATCTTTGCGCAGCATAAAACGTACGACCATGCGGTACAATGGTCTGAAAATCAAGACTATTACCTATTGGCTCTATAGCTCCTTAGTCGATTTGACAACTAATAGCCGTTATTTTCCCTCTTAAAGACATTTTAAAGCCCCCCTTTTTTAAGGGGAGTTCTAAATTAGTATTATTTTTCAAATGCCATTGGAATTTAACCTTTTCATTTTTTGGCCTGCAAATGGGACATAGTACCTTTAAGCATATTATTGTTAGCAATAAAATACCATAATTTCAAACATACATGTATGTGCTAAACATTTAAATATGCTATCCTATTTGGTTGAAAATGAAAGAAGCCCCAGTATGCAATAATGACTATGAGGTTTTTTTTGTATTGTAACTGTTATTTTATGAAGTATTTACATTACCATGTTGTACTTAATTGTATGCATTCTGTTCAGGTTCACACAAGTTAAGTATACACAGTTGGCCCCGAAAGTTTACATGTACCTGGAAGAAACTCATTTTACTCAAATTTTCTCAGCTGCACTCATTCCTATCAGGAGTCACTCATCTCAGAGTGATTAGTGATGTATATACTATATATATATTCCCCAGAGACCATATTTGTCTATCCCCGGTGGGGTCACTCAATGTGACTTCCGGACCGCATGACCGTTACCAAAATCGCGGAAAAAGGGGTCAATTTCAAGCAATGTCCGCGGACAAAATATTCCTCGAAATAAAGAAAATAGGGGTGCACAGGTGTCCTCGAAATTGATAAATAGGGGTCAGGAAGAGGGAAAAGAGAAAATCGGGAAGGGAGAAGAGAAAACCAGGAAGAAAAATTCTCGGAGCCGAGTCTTGTCCTTGAAATATGGTAAAATAGGGGTAAATTTGCGAAAGTGTCCTTACAATCTTATAAATAGGGGTATTCCAAAGTACGATTTTGTCCTTGTTTTGACGAAAAAAAGGGGGTTAAATTTCACAAAATGTCCTTGAAATTGACCGCAAAAGGGGGTTATATGCATTTGTGGTAACGGTCATGCGGTCCGGAAGTCACATTGAGTGACCCCACCGGGTGTCTATCTTCCTGAAGAGAAAAGTTGGCAGGAATGTATGTACAATTCAGGGATAATTCCAGTACTTGATTATGTTTTTGTTTTTTCTTTGTCTTCTTCTATTTTTAACTATCAGTAGATGTGTACCAAGTTTTGTGTGCCATATGCTTTGTATATGCTATAAAACAGAGACGAAATTTGTTTATCTTCCTGAAGTGAAAAGTTGGCAGGAATGAGTGAAGTAGTTTATATCTGGCCCAACTCTACATGATAGTAATAATAATAATATTTAATTTGTATATAGCGCTTCATACAAATGTCTCTAAGTGCTTTACAAATATGTATGTACATCTACAATTCAGGGATTTTTTTCAGTACTTGATGTCTTTGTTTTTTCTTCATCTTCTTCCATTTTTAACAATCAGTAGATGTGTACCAAATTTTGAATGCCTTATGCGTTGTATATACTATAAACAGAAATAGAATTTGTCTATCTTCCTGAAGATAAAAGTTGACGGGAATAAGTGATATTTATATTTAATTCAGGGATTATTCCAGTATTTAATAGGATTGTTGTTTTTCTTCTTCCATTCGTTTTAACTATCAGGCCTCTGATTAGATGTGTACCAAGTTTTGTGTACCTTATGCTGAAGGCCTTATCATTTGATCTTATAGTTTTCAAGTTTACAACCTTGTACTTATGATATATGCAAAGAATACCAAATTAACTGAAATGGAAATTTCATTACATCTGAAATATGTTCATAACAATCATGTTTGTGCTTACCATGTTTATGTGTACGGAGTATGTGCCAAAGATTAAAGTATTTCTTGTATTTCTTATTCTGAATCTGAATTTAGTATTTATTAATAAGGTTTGAATCCTGAGGGAGAGTGGGTGGGAGGAAGGGGAGGACGGGAGAGGGAGAGATGAGAGTGGGAGATAGAGGGAGGGAAGAGAGTGAGGGGGAGGATCAAGGGAGGAAGGGAGAGAGAGAGATGAGGTGCATGAGAGTGGGAGATAGAGGGAGGGAAGAGGGTGTATAGATGTGTAGGGAAAGAGATAGAGGGGGTATCAATTTACAGTGAATGAGAGAAGAAAGGGGAGGTTTAGAGCATATGATACGAGATGTAGAGATTAGAGATGGATAGCCAGTGTAAATATCATATCCTTAATACAGGAGTTACATACTAGTTATACTTAGGAGGCTTAAAATGACAATAGTTACAACCAGGTTATGTGTTCTAAGAGAGCGCTATCAAAGCTCTTCATTTACTACATGTATTTTCACTGTTACAAGTCTACCACAAGGTGGCGCTATTTCACTGTTGACTTCAGGATACATTGACTCATCTCATTACAGCCAGTATGTACCAGTAAGAGGTGAGAAGGAGAGAAAGAGGGGAGGCTGTAGAGATGTTGAAGTAGATAGCTAAATAGACAATGGGACAAGCTTGAAAGATAGATTTAGAGCATAGGAGAGGTAGAGATATAGCTCAAGATGGATAGAGATGGATAGCGAAACAGGGAAAGAAAAATGAGAAACAGGGAGAGAAGGGAGGAGTATGTCAGAGGCTTTTTTTTTTGGGGGGGGGGGTTGGTACATTCAATGGTAGTGAAGTGGAAGATATGGCACAGGAAAGAGCGAGCAGTTTCTTTATTACGTTGAGTGTAATACAACAGAGATCAGTGCGTGTTTAGCGGGGCATTGCGTGTTGGGGGTCAGGGCATTGGATTACGTCGGGCTGGTCTGTGTATAGAATGTTACTATAGATTGAAGTATTTTGTCTCAAACACTCGAAATTCTCTTCAAATCTTCAAATGCAAATCTAGATTTAATGAAATCGTGATTCAGAGGCATCAGAGCGAATGTTTTCTAACAGTGTCACGAAATTTGTTTTTATAAACGTATGATACATGTATAAATATATAGATTTTTTTTGTTGTTGTTCAAGTTCACGGTTGGCAATTGGCAAACATTATATGCCAGAAAAGGTTTCTGGTTGTACAATACACGAAAGAGAAAAAAAAATATCATAGCTCTAAATGTTATGTACGTGTAACCAGATTCCCTTTTCTTTGTTTACATTGTGCAACTGGAAACAAAAGCCACTTCAAGATAATATCAACAGTCTCTGCAATGGGAATCCAAAAATATGCCAATCAAATAGGTTCGCTGCTGCTAGCTCAGATGATGTTATGTATCACTAACTTAGTCGAAACCAAGAGTAACGAACTATTCCGAAACATGCAACAAAAGACAGTTGAGGACCTTCAATGTATTCAAGGAAAATCCAACATCAATAGTAAGTTGCTCAAAGGGGAGGTAGAATTTGTTTTGATGCAATTAATAAAAACAATATGAAAGTTATGATTTGTTACTGATCGAGGCTGGATTTCTCTTCATTATGTCTTATCACCCTCATAATACACATCAATTTTCTTCAGGGTTCCCACAGAAATTTGAGAACAAAATTTCATGACTTTCCATAACTTTCCAGTACCCATTTTCGCCTTTTTCCATGACCAGATAAGTACCATTTTGGTGTGGGTAACTATATTGCGGCATCCAAGCGGCATACACATTTGTCAGTTCAAACTGGAAGGCCATAGCCATATACGACCCTCACCCATGATAAATTCC